TGCGAGCCCGGGATCCGAACCCGGGTCGCCAGCAGCGGAGTGCGCTCACTTAACCACCAAGCCACGGGGCCGGCCCTGTACATATATTTTTAAAAAATAATTTCAAGGTTTGTACTGTATACCACAGATTGAGAGAAGCTTTCTTCTCTTTTTTACGATTGGATGGGACTAATGATGGAACATGATCTACCATCAGGGCCCTTGTGGATTAAACACCCCCCAAGCCAGGTACTTCTGGAAGCCAGTGGTGAGACTGGGAAATGGAACAGCAGATGGAGGCAGGGCATATTATCAGAAAGGTACCTGGTCATCAACGGAGAGAGAAACTGTTGGTGTAAGTCTGCTGTGATTTCTCACTTCACAAGGGTAAATTCATTCCAGAGAACACATAGAAGTTATTTGTCTAGGGTGTGTTTTGGGGAATAGATGAGTTGGGGGAAGTCTTTATTCCTCAGATCTGAGGAAAAAGATTGGTCCTATGTTTGGGACTTTTTGAGGAGAAAAAACAAGTCTAGTGAAGAGCAATGTAAATTATTTTTCTCTATGTGAAGGGTACAAAAAATGGTTAAAAACCTAGGATGCAAGAGTAGGTATCATGCCAGAATTAGACAATGATTTATACTGTGCATACCAGACAATGTATAAATCATTTCATTTGACAGGTGATATTTTTATTTCTTTGGCAGACTTAGGGAGCTTTAGACTCATTACAGCTTTGTGAAGTAGTATTACAGTCTGAGCCATTAGATCATTCATTTTGCCTGATTACATCAACTCATTGGGTTATTGGGGAATGAAAGACACTCATCAAAATTGTCATCTTGATTATATAAAGAAAATGAATCAAACTTCTGAGAGTTAGTTTACAACCTGTTAAAAATTGACTGGAAGTTAAAAAATTGGTGGCAGTGCAGGAATAATTAGGGAAAAGTGTTTTCATTTTAAAAACTATCAGAGGTAAAGGAGTACTAATTTTGGAAGATAAAAATACCAGTTGGAATCCAAGTAGAGTTTTTTAAAAACTGCTTTATTGAGGTATAATTTACATATCATAAAATTCACCTGTTTTAAGTGTACAATTCAATAATTTTTAGTAAATTTACAGAATTATGAAAACATCACCGCAAGCCAGTTTTGGAACATTTTCATTACCTGAAAAAATCTCTAGTGTCCACCATATGCGTGATTCTCAGCTCCCACCCCTAGACCCAGGCAACTACTATTCTGCTTGCCATTTCAATAAATTTGCCTTTTCTGGACAGTTCATGTAAATGAATCATGCAATATGTGACCTTTTTTTGTCTGGCTTCTTTCACATAGCATAATGTTTTTGAGGCTCATCCATGTTGAGCATGTATCAGTACTTCGTTCCTTTTTATGGCTGAATGATATTCTATTATATGAATATACAACATTTTGTTTATTCATTCAATTGATGGCCATTTTAACTGTTTCCATTTTGGGCCTATTATGAATAATGTGGCTATGAAAAGATCAGGTTCAAGACTTTGTGTGGATACAGGTTTTCATTTCTCTTGGGGAGATACTTAGGAATAGAATTGCTGAGTGGTATAGTAAATTTATGTTTAACATTTTAGGAAACTGCCAAATTGTTTTCCAAAGTGGCTGTACCATTTTACATTTCCACAAGCGATGTATGAAGTTCCAATTTTCCACATTCTCCCCAATACTTGTTACTGTTTGTCTTTTTGATTATAGTCATTCTAGTGGGTGTGCAGTTAGTATCTCATTGTGATTTTAATTTGCATTTCCTTGATGACTAATGATGTTGAGCATGTTTTCTTGTAGTTATTAGCCATTCCTATTTCTTTTTTCATGAAATGTCTATTCATATCTTTTGCCCATTTTTAAATTGTTTTGTTTTGTTTTTTGTTTGTTTGTTTTTTTTGTGAGGAAGATCAGCCCTGAGCTAACATCCATGC